TTCTGCAACTTGTGAAAATTACGCAAATCAATGGCTTTTGCATTATTTCCCTACATTGTATTCCATTTTCTGGTTTTATTGTTTTGCATTCAAGCTTCTTCTTCTGGTCTTGGGAAGAAGCAAGTCCTAACCCAGCCATGCATTTATTGCAAACCACGGGTAAAGGAAAATGTGCCTTCTGGTCCAAAGTGGTCCTTGAAGCTGCTCCTGAGGCCTCCAAGTGCCCCCAACATAACCTCCCCAAACTGACTTTGGTTTTTTAAAAATCAAAGTGGAATAAAAAAAGATCCCCTGTGCATCTTAAAGGACCTGGAGGGGGGGGTCAATTTTGCCTTATTCTGCCCCCTTAATCCCCAGAGAAGTCACCTTTGGGCCAGGAAGGAAACCGCAAAGTCCCACAGGAGGTTAATGTGCCCCATTCAACACCTGGAAATTGCCCATCAACAAAACCTATTTGCCCTAAATGACAGAACAGCCTGACCCTAAAGATGGCATTTAATTATCAGCCTTTCCTTTCCTTTTTTAAAATAAAGAGACTTGAATCTGTGCATGATGAACCTGTGCATATGGAGGGCCGAAGGTATTTTGAAAATTGAGATTCTTTGGAGGGAGAGGTTATGATACTCAGACAAAGCGGATGAGTGGTTTTGATGCCAGTGAGGTGCCAAATCTGATTTGGATTTTAGTCTGAATTACAAAAGAATTTTGCAACGCATGGAATCCTATCCATCCCTCAAATAGCATTTTTAGCACCTTGGACAGTTCCTTCAGCTGCAGAGAAGCTCTCCAAGGGACCAAACCTGTTTGGAAGAGAAGAAGTTCATCACTTTGCTTGGATAAACTCCTTTCCAGTTCAAATGACAACCCAGAGTAGATTTTTCCAGTGATACCAGAGCCATCCATTTCCACTTCCACAAATGGAGCAGAACATTATTTTCTTATCATTGGCTTACTGACGAATTAGCATTCAGGGAACCGACGTCTTTCCCCCTTCATTTCTATTTTCAATGGATGTGAATTATTTTAAACAAAATTCCCTCCACTTGACAAAGTTATTAAACCCCACTGGGTTTTTAATGGCATTGTCTCTATCTGTTCTCAGACGTCTTCCGTGGACAATGGATGACGTGGTCCATTGTTATCTGTTCTGCTAATGGATTCCTTATCAGTCTTCTGGATCATTGGAAATGGGCTCATGGTATGATTGGGCAATGCTTAGCTGCTTTTTGGGGCATTACACACATATCCCTTATCTCTGTGTCTTTAAAAAAATGTATTTCTTTATCTGATTGCTTGCAGTGGACAGGAATGGCAATTGTCCTTCGAAAAGGGAATGATTTCTTTCTATGTTTTGCTTTTTTCTGGTGGAATCGATGGGTTGGCCAGTTCTTGGGCATGAGAGGAAAATAAATCTCCCTATTTCCCCCACGGTTGTGATGTTTGACATCTGTTTATTGTTACGTCAGTGGCGGCCCTTGCAGAGGAAACTTGCCCCCCTTTTACTTGGATTCAAGAATGGAGTCATTCATGAATGGAAGGCATTAGTTTATTTAATGATGGAACAGACATCAGCTTTCCAACTGAGCCATCAGGCCTTGAAGCAAACATACACCTAACTGCTTACGGACATTTTGGGAAATCTACCTATCCAGTAGCAGAAAACAACAGCACAATACCAAATCACGATGTACACTAGGTATATTTTGGGAAGGGCCTGAAATGAAATGGACGCCTTCCTTATGGGGCCAGATCACTGGGCAGGAAAGGGAAGGCCTTCTTTATTTTGGATGGGATGGGAAGAGTTGTCCTTGCCAACCAGCCCTCCATCCATTGCTAATGGCCAAGGAAGGCGTTGGGTCTTC